TTTTAGCTCAGAACTTCAGACAAGTAGTCCCTGCAGTGAGCACTGGTAGCCTAGATTGCAGTAATTACCTTGTTACCTCTTTTATGTGTGTGTTCTCACTGTCTGTTCCATCCTTGCAGCAATCATTTTATTTCTGCACAACAGTGTCCTTTATACTTGTTTTCATCCCCACAAAGTCTACTTCAATAGTAAAGCTGTGTAGACATCTATTAAGCTTTGGAAATCAGGATAAGGACCAGTATACTTTGTTTTTTTGACATGACATGGAAAAATCCTATGATATAATGAATAATAATATTCAGCAGACGTGCTGTTTCTGAGACTGTGAGCCTCTAAGAAAATAAGTTCTACTTGTTAGAGAGATTTAAAGGAAAAACACACTTATCTAAATATTTTTATGATGTTTACCCTTGTACACTCAACGGTGGAAGAGTTTTGTCAGTTACCTGTACAGATGGTTTCTCAAGTCATGATGAATTTGTCTCAAAGTGTCAAAAAAAAAACCCCATATTGTAAAAGCTGAAAAGTTAATGATTCAGATGTAAAGTTGGTTTTATCCCAAAGATTTCATGGTATATTTTAAAGGTGCTTACATTTTAACTTTCACTTTCTCAACCTACATCTCCTCCTCCTTCACAGCTGAGGTATCACTTAAAATGTATTGGCAACATGGAATTTTCATCTTCGTTTACATTATATTAGAAAACTAAATCTCACTGGTGAAGCTGCCTCAAGGTCATTAGTAAGCTTCAGAGGCATAATGTAGATGACAGCCTTAACACGTCTGTTGTCATGCTAAACATGGCCAAATCCTTCAGGACAACTGTAACAAGGTGCTGGAAGTAGTTACTAGCACTGGGGAGCTGACTAAGGCTCCTAACATTGCTAACATTGTTTTAAAATGCCTAATTAAACTGTGCGGGGATGGTATTTTACGTTGTGTGCGCACCATGTTGTGTGGGCGGTAATGTGAAAAGCAAACATGCCAACTCCTCTGCAAGTTCAGGCTTTGCTTACCTGGGAGCAGAGAGCTGACTCATGGCATGTGAAAGTGAAGAGTCTGTGCAGAGGGTTTACAAGTTGATTTTAAGTTGATTTTCTAAAGTTTGGTGATGACCTAGAATGATTCAAAAATGTATCTAAGTGAGGAACATATGGCTAGTCGTTAAAAATGTATCAAAGAGCTTCTCTTGTCTTCCTTTCTCATGAATGATCTCTTCAACATAAATGATCCCCTCATGTGACCCCCAGTCTGTTGGTTGGCACTCACATGCAAGAGCATCAGCATGCTATTAGCAATTACCTTAGTGATATTTACAGCATTTTAATGTCAGTTGTCTGTATGTAAATAGTCTGTGAGGAACGCAGCGTGCCCAGGGCTCCTACTACAACAGCACTGCTCCTTCACATGCCAGAGTGCTTCCTGCACCTTCTGTAACTGCCAAAAATATCATTTCAGTTGCTTTATGACAAAATAATGAGTCTGTCAAAGATGAGTGGTCAGAAAAACAAATTTGTTCTCCCACACAATTAGAGTTTATAGTGTTGGACAGCAATATCAATCTCCAGCGATTCAAAATTGAATTTGCACGTTGGAGGGAAACGTGTTCTTGTGTGTGCTGTAACCAGGCTGCTTAGCGGGAAGAGTCCTCACAGGTTGAGCTGGAAAGATGGCTATCAGCTGAGCTGTGGAAACATCGAGGTGGAAGTTTCCAAATGCAGACAAGTGGTGTGGGGATGTCGCGTTCACTTCCACAAGCTCAGCACTGACAGAGCTGCTCCCACAAAGATCAACAAAAAAAAAGTCTGGAAAAACTGTCACCAGATACAAAAGGCAGACAGCTGTTCCCTTCAGGTAGAAAGCTGTTTCAAGGCCTGCATCTCCCCATACATAACCTAATTGCTCATGGAGTTGTTGATGTTTATAATAATGGGCTTCCAACATTCTTTGTACATCTTTCAGACGTACAAAGCATTAGACCTCAGCAACGCCATTTACGGTAAGCATATACTGTATCTCAGAACTGCACTTTGCCCTTAACATTTGCTTTATCCTTGCATGGGATTTTGCCCTTAGGCTGTTTGCCAGTGCAGTGCAAAGGCTGCAGCATACATCCTCTTACATTTGCCGTACCTTAACCTGTATTCTCAAACCTGCTCTACTGATTACAGCTCCCTCAATCACCCCTTCTCAGTACATATGCAAACCCTCTTGATGTGCCAAACAGCTGCTACCCACCCAGTGCTACCCAGTAATTGCATTTCTGGGTATGTGTATGTAATACCTTGTAAAGCACTTTGACTTTTTTCTTTGGATTTCAAGAAACTATATAGGTATGAAATACTGTCATCTGGAACTCAGTATGCAAGATGTGGAAGCAGTATTTTAGGTTTTCAGGACTTCTCCATTCTTATACATGCAGCCAAAGTGACCACATTCTTCTAATAGAAGCATCTACAAGGGCTATATGAAATTTTGTGTTTAATGTGCTTTGTATGTAAATCTAATTAAGCCTTTTGCTACTATTACAGATTTAAAGCAGTTACAGCTAGGAACAGCCTTTCAAAGCAAGTGCTTAAAGAAATTACAAATGGTACCTAGGATTTTCAGTAATCATTTATCATCTGGATATTCACATAAGGTAACAAAATATTTCCTTACCTCTGGAACAGAAAAGAAAGGGGATCTTCCTTAAAAAAAGAGATGAGACAGATGAAGGACTCTGAACTTGGGCAGTCTTCCGTAGCAGCCTGATGTCCACATCCTGACAGTGATCTGATAGGAGCCCAAGTCAGCTACCCGATCAGTGGTGCTCAGCTGATTCATAGTTACCTGAAACACCTAAGGTCCAGGCTCTGCTGCTTTGTTTTCACACTGCTCACAATCCAATATATCGCATCACAAGAGTAGTTCTCTCATTGTCCATCTGGATGATACTTTTACCTAAATAGTCTTCTTTCTGTAACCTTAAATATTTCAATTTTCCTTACTGCTTATCCCGCAAATAGAAATAGCTTTTTATTGTACTCTAGTCAACTCTCAGCACCGCCACGCACATTTACCTCTTTCATTCATCCAAAGAAATCTGTCCCTCAAGCACAACAGGCATTTCTCTTCGTTGCAGAAGTCTCTGAGATTGTCCATATATACACTCTGATGAGGTCCCTGGGACAGATTGCCCAATTCCTAGTGCAGCCTTCCTAAAAACCCAGAAGTATACAAAATATTGTTTCCCTATTTCAGGAAAAATATCTCTCCACATACAGCACAGAATTTGGTATTGGCTTGTTTTTCCCCAGACACGGTACCCTCCAACTTATGTTCGGTTTGCTTTTCACAGATGCTTTTTGTTCTCTTTCCGTTTTAGCACTGTCTGCATTTTACACTCATTCAGTATTCAGCTACATCCTTGATTTGCTATGGAAATCATGATTAATCTCTCTCAGGTCTGTGAAGTGACCTCAGCAAAAAATTGGTGCAAGTGAGAGGAGAATCAGAGCCTCTGTGGTTCAGTCGTCTGAATGTCTGTCTTCTGCTTCTGCTCTTTTACTCCCTATGTATAGTTACTGACACGAACAAGAACCCCAGTTCAATCTCTTCAGATTTCATTAATCTACAGATTTTTTCATACTTGTGTACCACTAATGATCATAAACCAAACCCAACTTTTATGTTGCCTATATACTAAAAGGCAAAGGTAACCTTTTTTTGCCACACATTGTGTGACCTTTTGTGGTTTGGGTTGGTGTTTTTTTTTTTTAAAACGTTTCTTTTTGTGCCCACTTTAACAAGCTCTTGTTAACTCTACGTTTGACTTTTGTAATGTAAATGTATTTTTTTACCTTGATCTTTGATGTTTAGCTAGTCTTGTAGAAAACCACAGTGACCACGTGTGCCTTACTTTCTTCTCCTTGGAGCCTATGGACAGCTTAGTTTGAATTATTCTGAGTGTTTTTAGGATTATTCAGCATTGTTGGCTCTTTTTTTACTCAGTTGTTAATGTTAGGTTTTGACTATCTATTCTCTGCCCACAAAGGTTTTAGATCAATCTTTTATGTTTTCTTTCATTCTCTCTAAATCATATTCCTAGGATTTTGGGGTTTGGTTTTGGTTTGGTTTTTTTTTTGGGGGGGTGGTGGTTTTTTGTTTTAATTTTAGGGAGCAGAAAGTTCGCTCTCCTTTCTCTTAAACATGATATTATTTGGAATTTTCTTTTAAGGCAGGATGCAGCATTCTGGAGAATTCTGCTGGGAAGGATTTCAAAAATACTTATAAAACATCCAAATAAGTTAATTTGCAGAGAGGCATTGATTGAATGAATCTGTGATTGTTCTACCGGTTTAGGGCAGGAAGAGCCATTTAGCAATTCCTCCATTTGGTAAGCTAAGTGGCTAAGATGTCCCTACATTGTCTGGTTTGTGTGTGTCTGTTCTGAATACCCATAGGAGGGCTGATTGTTTTAATTCTCAGTTAATAGTTTTTTTAAAATTTGACAGAAGGTCCCCAACTACTTCCACAAGAAAATGTGTTTTGCTTTTTGTTTTTGTGAAAACTTGCCTGTATTTGGTACAAACAGACCTCCAGAATCTGTAGTTTTCCTTTGTCTGTTGGAGCTCGATGGCTAAAATGGCAGTAGGTGCCTTCTGCAGAAACCCTACGTGCTGCTGTGCTGCATGGGCTCTGCCGCCTGGACCACAGAACAGCTACCGGGGCCTGATGCCACGACTCTGGGCTGAGAAGCCCTTCTTCTGCAGCAATCTTGCCCTAAGAAATTAAAAAACGGCACCAGAACAGGCAGCACAGCTATCCCATGCTCTCCATGCTGTCTTGCCTGGGAAATAACAAAATGGAGGAGGCAACCTATGAAGAGGTGGATCACAGTGAGTTAGGGAATGTGGGAAATAAAAGGAAATCAATATGCATGGGAATTGTTTGTGTACGCTTACATGTATCCATACATATAAATATATGCGTATGTTTTGTATATATATGAAGAGGCATGGGACAGGACTGGATAGAAGCAGCGGGAGATGGAGAAGGCCAGAGTCCGCCCGGGACTTCTAACCATGTGAGCAAAATTGAGGAAGGGTCAGTCTGTCTCTTCAGGAACATATGACAAGTACAGCGTCGAAGAATTGCCAACAGACTTTGCATAAGTTTTTCTGACACAACCATCCTTTACTTTCAGGTGCTTATTGAAAGAAATCCAATCGGTTCCTCTCTCTCCTTTATTCTAGTGACTCCACAGTCTCTCCTGCTTCTTTCTCCTCTGACTCTATTTTTTGGTCTTGTCACTATCGTGTATCTCTCCTGTTTGGGAGTCTTCCATTTTCATATTCCTCTGGACAGTACAACCACACGTTACTTTGCTTAATAGCAGTGCCTTTTGCCAAAATCTTCAATCTCTACATGAATAGGCATATCTCATCCACTGACACTCAGACAGGCATCCATCTTTCTGCAGTGGCTAGTCATTGAAAATTTACTTTACAATTGATGTCTTTAAGCATCAATATTTTGGAAATGATATAAAAACGAACCACACTTTCTTTTGTCTAGCATATTCAATACATTTTGGTAATTTCAATTTAAAAGGTGCTGAACCTGTTTTTCTTTAGAATGAGCATTGCTCAAATAACAGCAGTTTCATCTGCCTCATTTCTAGCATTGAGCAGAATGCTCCACCATCTACTGTATTACAGATTCTTGTGGATTTTCTCCAGCAGCCACTTATGACAACTGCAAGCTTGCTTCACCCTGGGGATATATATGTATGTGGCCAGTTGCTTCAGGTCATATTCCTTCCAAATGGAAGTCAGTTTGACAGCTGTTAATTTGCACTTCGCCATTTCCTGTGTTGTTTTGCTCTAATTGTTGGTCACTGTATGGAACAGGTGACAAATGCCCGCATGAGAACCCTTTAAATCACTAGGTGTACAATCATTAGGAAAACAAACACACAGGGTCGTTAAGTACTAGTTTTCTCTCCAGCCCCAAACAGAAACAGATTTTAGCCAGTTTTGACAGCTATTGGAAAGGGATGGAAAGAGGTGACAATGCCTTACTGTTTATGAAACTAGGTTCCCATTCTGTAAATGTCCTAGTCT